AGTGTAAGCTCAGTGCACAATCAGAGCCTTTAAACCAGCTCCCAAACAACAGTCAGGTATTATCTACTTTTAAATCAGTAACGTATTTCTTATTAACATTAGCAAAGGTTAACTTCAGGGTTGTTATAATGGTGTCTGACACAGTGTCTCTATAKGAAAATGTTCAGTTCTTAGTCCACAGGCTGGATCAGATCACTGTGATTGTTAATCTCACCACATGAGTTTAAACGAGAGGCATGTTTGGAGGAGCGGCAGCGTCTCCAGCCTCATGATGAAATCCACTGAGTTTTTTCCGTGCTCTCTCTCCATGTGCGTCGGGGTTACTTCGTTTGGCCTCCTTCGTCACCCAGGACAGTCTGTCCAACTTCTCCATCTGCACTGCCGTGTGGGAACCATCGTAGCTAGGAGTGCAGTCAGTCATGAGACCCCTCTTCTGCAGATCCTTCATGGCGTCCGCCGCAGTGCTATACGTGATCGGGCCACCGTCAAAAAACACACGGAGCTTAGCCAGCGGTGAGGTTTGGAAGCAGAGACCTTTTTCTTTCAGAAGTTTGCTGATGGGGCGTAAGCTTTCCTCTTCTTTTGAGTCTCTGCCTGATAGTCCTGATCGAAACAAACCTGCTGCTGGTTGAGGTGAATTTCACTTTTCTTCCACGCGGTGCGAAGCACCAAATCCCTGGTTCTAAATACCAGAAAGGAGGTCACCACGGAGCGGGGGCTCGCATTCTGCGGTGGTTTGGGACCCAAAGCCCGGTGGCAGAGTTGTATAACCAGGTCGATATCTTGGAGTGACAGCTCAGCCTTAATGAAACCGTCCATAAATTCCAGCAGATTATCTCCCTCTGTATCTTCTGTAATCCCGTACACACGGATATTATTTCTTTGTGAGCGTGCTTCTAGATCAGTCAGTTTGGCTTGAATTTTATCTTGGTTGTTAATAGTTTGAGACAGCACCTCTTTCGCCGCTGCGGTCCACTCCTCCATTTCTGCCACACCTTGTAAAGACTCCTCCGTTCTCTCTTGATTCTCTTTTATGTCCGACACAACTTCATTTAGTTTTCCATTAATCTCCTCTTGAAATTTTCTTAAATCTCTCTTCATGTCAGCGGTGAAGTCATCACGAAAGCAGCACAGCTCTTCCTTCATGTCTTTACGGATAGTTACAATCTCTTTGTGGATAGCTATGATCTCTTTGTGGATAGCTACGATCTCTTTGTGGATAGCTACGATCTCTTTGTGGATAGCTCCGATCTCTTTGTGGATAGCTCCGATCTCTTTGTGGATAGCTCCGATCTCTTTTTGGATAGCTACAATCTCTTTGTGGATAGCTACGATC